TGTCGGGGGTTTAAATGGAGAGAAAATGTTTTGAGAAACGATGTACAAATGCGCTTTACACAATTGATGTGTGTGTGGATTGGGATAACAGTTGTATGAGCCCCTAATAAAATGTTAAAAAATAAAATAAAATAAAAAGAAATGAAATGGGTGCTACTGCAACTGAGATTTTAAAAGCAACAATGAATCACACACTCTTGAGCAGTGGTTCTCAACCTGCGGGTCGCAACCCCTATGGGGGTCAAACAACCCTTTCACAGGGGCCCGCCTGATTCATCACAGTAGCAAAATGACAGTTATGAAGTAGCAACGAAAATAATTTTATGGTTAGGAGTCACCACAACATGAGGAACTGTATTAGGAAGGTTGAGAACCACTGCTCTCAGGATAACAGAGCACTGGAACCTTCGAGAAATACAAAATGTATGCGCATCAAAGACTGCATCCAAAGAGGTAAGAGAGAACCCGCTGGTTGCAAAGAAATATTTAGTAATGACATATCATAAAGGGCTAACTTTAAAAAACTATAGAACATTACAGCACCTTAATAACAAATACAGATAACCCACTCGAAATAAATGGGCACAAGGCATGACTAGACCATTTCATAAAGTGGCATCCAAGTGGCCAACGATCACATGCAGCAATGTCCCCATTCATTAACGGTAAGTGAGCGACAACTGAAAACAACAGTGAGATACAACTTCACTGTCAGAGAGCCTCTAACAACCGCAGGCGCAACTGTACGGTGATAATATATACAGATCACAGCAAAGTCAGAGAGGATACATCGGAGAGAGTACAATAAAGGAGTCAGACACATTTCATAGTACCATGCTCACCTCCGCCCCTCTTGGTGGTCCACGCGGAGGTGGGAGAAGCGAGAGAGAACCTTTACTATCTTGGGACATTTCTAGGTAGCCGTAAGACATGCATATTCAGTAGTTACATGCGTCACAGGGTGGCTGGTATCTACATTAAGGTCCCTGAGCTCACAGGTGAAGAAATGTAATACCTGCATTGGGAGAAGGCATGAGGTGGGGATGGGTGCTGAGGCGGGAAGAAATAGCAACAGGGTGTCTGCTTCTACAGGGAGAACAGAATCAACTATGTGCTCTCTTAAAGGCAGCATCGCTGTTAAGGGGAGAATCTGTGGGAATGCTATTTAAAGCAGGATCATGTACCATGTACTTGGACTTTCTCTCTAACTTACCAAAGTGGAGGATTTCCTACCGTGGAATACCAGCTTTCCAGATTCCCTCTGTGATACATTAGGGAATATAGTTCTTGTCCTATCTCCATCAGTATTAGTTTCCCACACCTTGCACACCCACTTGTAGCAACAATATACAAAATAATAATCAAAGGTAGAGAGGATGTGGTGAGAGTGGAATGCTCCAACACTGCTGGTGAGGTGGTAGGGTTCTACAAACACCATGGAAATCAGAGTGGCGCTTCTCTACACAAATGCAAGTACAAAGACCTTAGGATCCTACAATCTATTTGGTAGATACCCAATGAAACAAGAACCGACTCATGCACACCTGTGTTGATTGCAGCCATTTCCATAATAGCAAAGAGATGCAAACCCTCAAGGACTGACTACAGAGGAATGGGTAAACCAACTCTGGTCCATTCATAAAATGGAACTATTATACATCCTTAAAAAACAGACAAGTCTACCAAACACCTTTAAGACATGGACAAAATTAGAGAATAGCAGGCTTGGCGACATTAGTCAATCTCCCAGAGACAAATACTTTAGGACACCATCCATTATTACAAAATAAAAAGACAAATGAATTTTATACCAAAGGAGAAGACTTTAAAGACTATGGCGGGGTAGGGGTTAGAACTGCTGACCCTGTGGACAGCAGTTCTATGCAAAGCCCATTACACCATCAGACCTCCTTCAAGTCCTGATTTTTCTTGCTCTGCCCCCTGCTTCATGCACCAAACCCTGTTGGACTGAGAACGCTGAAATCAGTCTCTCTGTCTCTCTGTCTCTGTCTCTGTCTCTCTCTCTCTCCCTGCTACCCAGTCAATGCCCACTCATAGCCATCCTGTAGGACAAGGTAGAACTTGCCCCTGTGGGTTTCTGAGAATGTAGCTCTTGACTGGAGTAGAAAGCCTCCTCTTGTCCCCAAAGAGCTGCTGGTGGTTTCGAACTGCCGACCTTACAGATCACAGGCCAACTCATAACCACTACGGCTCCTCCCGATAGGTTGAGCAGGATCTGGGTGATGATGGGAGGGAGTTGAGGGGGTCCTTTGATAGGGAGAGGACTGAAGTTTCAGCAACTAACCTTGGACTTTCTTTCTCTCTGGCCAGGGCTTACATGTACCGACAGAATCGACGGCTCCTGCTGCAGTAGGGCATGTGGGGTGCAGAAGAAATGTCGTTAATAAAGCCTGTGACACATTCTGCCGTGTCTCTGTGAGCTCCTTGGTGGCCCTCACCACCCCCAGAGGGCAGAGGCATCTACCGGTAAAGAGCTCAAGAGCGAAGAAGTCACTTGAAGGACTCAGGTGCGCTTGGCTCAAGCCATGGCGTGTTTAACCTCGTCCGCCCGTGAACGCGGAACAAGTCAGGATGTTTGCAGAAGCATTTGAAATAGGCAAGCTCATGTCACCACGTTTAAGCAGAACGGACACAAGAACACTTGTCCCCAAAGGGCATCCTCCCTGGCGCCTCTGACT